GTGTGTGTGTGTGTGTGTGTGTGTGTGTGTGTGTGTGTGTGTGTGTGTGTGTGTATGTGTGTGTGTGTGTGTGTGTGTGTGTGTGTGTGTGTGTGTGTGTGTGTGAGTGTGTGTGTGTGTGTGTGAGTGAATGTTCCAAAGTGTAAGTAGTCCTTATTGCTTAATCCCTTTACGATTTATTTAGGACACGCAAAAAATGGAAATCAGACAAAAAAAAAAAAAAAAAAAGAGTGAAAGAGAAAGAAAAGTAATTCATTTTATCAAACATCGAGGATATCCGTTCTAAATACCCGCTCGATTTTCGCGAAATATCTCCTTCGCTTTATCACTGTATCTATTTCCTATCGTTTATATTCTTCTTCTACTTCTTCTCCCTCTTCGTCTTCTTCTTCTTTCTCTTATTTCAAACTATTTCCGATTAATGGACTAATGAGGACAGCGATATGGAGAGCGAATATTGTATAACCTAGAAAAAAATATGTTAATTACCTCTGTTCTCATTTAGCGTCGTTTTTTGTTGTCATTATCAATATCATTATTTTTTCATTACTATTATTATCATAGTCATTTATATTCTTGTTGATATCATTGTCATCATTATTATCATCATTATCATTATTAGTAGTATGATTTATATTATTCTAATAATTATTATTAATATAATCCTTATTTCATCATTATTATTTTTATTGTCATCATTATTATCAGCATTATTATTTTATCATTATTATTATTATTATTATTATTAATATTATTATTATTATTATTATTATCATTATTATTATTATTATTATTATTATTATTATTATTATTATTATTATTATTATTATTATCATTTCCATTGTTATTAATATCATTATTGTTGTTGTTGTTATTATTATCATCATTATTGATTTTATCATTATCATCATTATCATTAAACTACAATGCAGCATTCAGGCTCCACTATCATATCTACGTCAGACTAACCCAATATTTTCATGCATGAGTGTTTATGAATGTACACACACAAGCACACACGGATTTTAATAATAATAATAATGATAATAATAATAATAATAATAATAATAATAATAATAATAATAATAATAATAATAATGATAATGATGATAATAATAATCATAATAATGATAATAATAATAACAATAATGATAATAATAATGATAATAATAATGATAATAATAGTAATAATAATGGTAATAATAATAATAATAATAATAATAATAATAATAATAATAATGATAATATCAATAACAAGAATAAGAATAAGAATAGATGATAATAATAATAATAATAATAATGATAATAATTAAGATGATAATAATGATAATGATGATGATGATGATTATGTACTTGTGTCTCGCACAAACTATCTAAACACTAATAGCATTCAATCTAAAATCAACAAAAGAATGATTTTCAAAAGCAATTTCCAATGAAACAAAACAATGACACACGAAACAAGAAAAAAAACACACAGACAAAAACTCGAAACTACACGATATAATCTTGTGTACAATTATGCAGTTAAATAAGTTCTTCATTGTACTTGACTGATAACAGCCGCAGTAAGAAAATAAATACTGTGTTGAGCTGCAGAGCATGATAGCAAAGATAATGCGTTTGAAAGTGTGCGTACATGTGTGTGTATGTATATGTATATATTCATAGATAATTACATGTACACGAATATTTATGTGTATATACGCGAGCGCGCGCGAGCGCGTGTGTGTGTGTTTGTACATATATACATATACAGATACATATATACATACAGGCACACATATATGTATGATATATATATATAATAATAATAATAACAATGATATATATTGGTGTGTGTGTGCGTACGTAGATGCATACATGCATACAGACAAATATATATGCATAATATATATATATATATATATATATATATATATATATATATATATATATATATATATGTATATATATACACATATATATGTATGTATATATATATATATATATATATATATATATATATATATATAGAGAGAGAGAGAGAGAGAGAGAGAGAGAGAGAGAGAGAGAGAGAGAGAGAGAGAGAGAGAGAGAGAGAGAATGTGTCTATATATGTATATATCTACACATACATATACCGAGTGAGTGTAGGTGAAGGTTTGCGAGTGACCTGGAGAAAGTGAAGGTGACCGAGGGGTGGGTTTGACTCTGCTGTTTGTTTGTTTGCTCTTCAAGTTTTATTTTCGAGGTTATCTAAGGAGGCATCTTTAGCTTCAATGTGTGTGTGTGTGTGTGTGTGTGTGTGTGTGTGTGTGTGTGTGTGTGTGTGTGTGTGTGTGTGTGTGTGTGTGTGTGTGTGTGTGTATGTGTGTGTGTGCGTGTGTGTGTATGTGTGTGTGTGCGTGTGCGTGTGCGTGTGCGTGTATATGTATATGTGTATGTGTATGTATATGTGTATGTGTATGCGTATGCGTATGTGTATGTGTATATTGTGTGTGTGTTTGTGTGTGTGTTTGTGTGTGTGTGTGTGTGTGTGTGTGTGTGTGTGTGTGTGTGTGTGTGTGTGTGTGTGTGTGTGTGTGTGTGTGTGTGTGTGTGTGTGTGTGTGTGTAACATTATTAGATTACGACTTAGGTAAATATCTTTCCGCGACAGCCAGCCAGACCCATAAGGTACAACTAATCAAACCTAACTACCCAATCTTCTGAATGCATTTACCAACACATTAATAATATTCAAAACAAGAAGATTCCAGGCGAACTAACTATCAGTCAGAGGAAGAACTTACTCCTCTCCGCCGTTTCTCAAACTAAAATCGAGAAAAAAGGAATGAAAGAAAAGAAAAGAAAAGGAAAAGAAAAAGAAAAAAAAGTATGATTGACGTTAAGTGTTCCTTGTTACACATTCTCTCCCCTCCCCCCCTCCCCCCTCCTCCTCTTTCCCCTCCTTGTCTATTCCTCTTTAGAAATGGACATTTTAATACCTCTGTTTGGATATGTTGTTGATTTGCCTATGTCGTTATTGCTGATTATCTGTTTGTTCTCTTTTATTGGTAATTGTGTTTATGATGTGTTTTCTAGTGCTGTCCGTGTTTTGTTTTGTTTTTTCTTTTTCTTTTTTAGTTTTTTATCTCTTTTCTTATTTCTTCTTTTTTTTTCTTTTTTTTTTGGCGATTCCATGTTGTCGATTGGTGAATACTGTTTGTAGCTTTCTTGTTTTCTTTTTTTCTAAATTAGGTGGTGTCCCTCCTCTATCGTTGTTGTTTAATATCTATTCTCTCCCTCTCCCTCTCTCTCCCTCTCCCTCTCCCTCTTCCTCTCCCTCTCCTTCTTCTTCTTCTTCTTCTCCTTCTCCTTCTTCTTCTTCTTCTTCTCCTTCTCCTCCTCCTCCTCCTCCTCCTTCTTCTTCTCCCTCTCCTCCTTCTCCTTCTCCCTCTCCTCCTCCTTCTTCTTCTTGTGTTCACTTTGTTTTTCGTTATGGACATGTTTTCTTACTCTTTTCTTGTTCCAATCTTAACTATAGCCACGTGTTGTATGTCCTTGTTTTGCATAAATTATTTTTGTTGTCTGTTTACATGTTGTTGTTTTTTCGTTGTAACTTCATCCATGTTGCATCGTCATATAAAAAATAAAGCAAGAAGGAATTGAAAAGATGATTAAAATAGCATAAACAATGATGGATAAAAGCGACGAGCAATCATTTGAATAACAATAGAAATAATAATCAAAATAGGAAATAGGTGATCAAGAGTGGTCTTTCCTGAAGCTTATTTGCTAATGGAAAATCCTGATACAACGACCTTAGCAAAAAAATGACGATAATAATGATAATAATAATAATAATAATAATAATAATAATAACAATAATAATAATAACGATGATGATAATAATAATAATAATAATAATAATAATAATAATAATAACAATAATAATAATAACGATGATGATAATAATAATAATAATAATAATAATAATGATAATAATAATAACAATAATAATAATAACGATGATAATAATAATAATAATAATAATAATAATAATAATGATAATAATAATAATAATAACAATAATAACAATAAAAATAATAGCAATAATGATAACAACAATAATGAGAAGAATATTAAGAATGATGACGATGATAATAGCAATAATAATAATAATAATAAATCCAAAACCATATAAAAACAAGACGACAGGTCATGAAAGCTCACACGCCCGTAACAATGCCACCCATTTTCAACCATATGAACTGAACGGGAAAGCTGGCGACGTAACGAGAGAACCAATAGTTACGTAGTTGATGCCACAAAATGCCCGAAGAGAATTAACTGTTTTTTTTCTCTTTCAACTGCAGTGCCCTTGAGATTACGACCACCATTATCTGGAATTAATCAAGATAAATGATTATCTTGGAATTAAAAGCGTTTGACAGTTACAAACACCTTCCCTGTTTCACGGATTTTTTTTCTTTTTTTTTTGATCGCAGAGGTCACGAAGTACTTCAAATGCCTCGAGATCAGCTGTTGATGTCTAGGAAAACCGCCCATAGAACAGCTGGTGATATCAACGGATACAAACAAAAATCAACTGTTGATGTCAAGGGAAACCGCCCATAGAACAGCTGATGTCAACGGAGACGCCCAGAGATCAGCTGGTGATGTCAACTCTCACTTATCCCGAAACTGGTCCGGAGGCCTAGTGAAAGTGACGTACAGTTTTAAGGCTTACTGGGATTAGATTGTTACTGGGGGAGTTCGTAACGGTTATGTCATCCATATTCATCATTATTTGTAATATTTCGACATTATTATCATCAGTGTCAGTTTGTTTTTATTATTGTTATCAGTTATTGATATCATTATCGTTATCAATAAACTTTTAGTCTTTATCTTCTTATCATTACTATCTTTATCATCATTATCATCACTATTATTATCATTGCTATTCTTATTCTTCTTATGGTTCTAATGTTGATGTTATCGTTGTTGTCGCACCAATTGTTATTACTAATGCCATTATTATTATCATTATCATTATTATTATTATTATTATTATTATTATTATTATTATTATTATTATTATTATTATTATTATCATTATCATTATCATTACCATTATCATTATCATTATCGTTATCGATACCGTTATCGTTATTATTAATATTATTATTATCATTATTATCGAGATCTAGGGGCGTGACAAATATTATTTTCGTGGGGCTTTAGATAGTATCGGATTTGTTATTCACTGTAACTTATCAAAATATAAATAAATAAATGAATAAACAGGTATATTCTGGACTACCTATATTCGCACTTTAACTCACGTTGTAAGGACCGCGAGTGACTGTATCAAGGACACTTAATGACTTATAGCGACGGCGAAACCTGTATCCTTGTACTCGTTACTGTATCTGTAAACATAACATAACCTTACCTAGGAACGGTTAATGGTAAATACTCCTGTAGGTACGAAATCCTTGGCCTCTGTCTTGCGAGATAAAAAAAATAAAAATAAAACACTATGATACACACACACACACAGAACCTGAGAATCAGCCAGTCCCTTTCTCTATTCCTCTCTTCACTAAGTCAGTCCTCACTACTCGCGGACGAACATACGCACACCGCTACACGCAAGGAGAGAGAAAGGCAAACGAGAGGGGGGTCCGTCCTCAACACCACCTTGTGGGAGACTAGATAAGTGGCGGCCGGTGTAAGTAAATAAGCAAGGGAGTTGGCTCATGTCACAAGGTCTTCCAGCCAGACAGGACTAACCTACACCCGACACTTGAGTAGCGCACGGCCACGCTCTAGTAAAGAACTGTAATACGCATTCACGGTGACCCAGAGGACTTCTGGACATAGTTTGAATATTAGAGAAGGAGGTTATTATGTTATCAAATAAGAGTAGTGTTGAAGGTGTCTGAGGTCTGTCCGCGCTGTCACACCCTCTGATAACGGTACCGACTGGTTTTATTACCTGCTTGCGGGGAAGGCTTTTCGCTTGATGATTGGGTGATCTTGAGTGTATAACCATCAAGCAGTCAGTCAGATATGACGTTTTGACTGCAAGGATCAGTCTCTTGAGAATAAAGAGGAATTGAATGAGAAACCAAGACAGAGAGAGAGAGTAGAAAAAGTTAATAAAGGCAAAATCAAATAGAGAGAGAGAAAGAACAAAACGGAGAAATCGCAATGGAATAGGGAGAAAAAAAGAGAAGTAAACAATTCCGTAAAGATAAAAGATAAGAATAAACAAAGTTAACGAGACACTTCTAATACAATTTCCTTTGCATACACACGCACATTAATTACAGTTAGGTTTCAAGTATTTTCTGCGAACACTTATACAGTTACAATATCGTTATGCACGACAATGCCATTAGAAGGTAACGTCTATAGCATGTCTCTCTCTCTCTCTCGTTCAATCTTTTTATCTATCTGTCTGTTTATCTATCTATCAATCTATCTATCTATCTATTTATCTAGTTCTTCTCTATATATACATCCAATCTAACTACACAAAGAGAAATGAAACTAAACATGAAATTAATTATGGGGTTCGCATTTTAGCTTTGATGTAGAGCTTTATTATGCACTAAAGAAATGTCGGAGTTCAAGTGGTTAGTACCGGGCGGGAAACTAGTTGAAAGAGAAAGTGGAAACTGGTTTGCATTTTCCTTTTCTCTTTCTCTCTCTCTCTCTCTCTCTCTCTCTCTCTCTCTCTCTCTCTCTCTCTCTCTCTCTCTCTCTCTCTCTCTCTCTTCTAGGGCCAACACCTTGCCCTGCCCAACTTACGAGTACATCTTCGTCAATCGTTAGAGCTCCCACCCTCTCTCCCTCCTCCTCCCTCTCCCTCTCTCTCTCCTCCTCCCTCTCCCTCCCTCCCTCCACCCACCCTCATACCCTCCTTCTCCCCTCTTCCCTCCCTCTCCCTCCCACTCTCCTCCTCCCTCCCTCTCTCCTCCTCCCTCCCTCTCTCCTCTTCCCTCTCTCCTCCCTCTCTCCTCCTCCCTCCCTCTCTCCGCCTCCCTCTCTCTCTCCTCTTCCCTCTCTCCTCCCTCTCTCCTCCTCCCTCCACCCACCCCCATACCCCCATACCCTCCCTCCCTCAGTTGTTCTCCCAAGACCCAAGCTCCGGCCGAAGGAATGCCACACCCCCAGAGGGCGGAGTCAGTCTCAACCTCTCTCCTCCTGGAAAACCGATCCCGAGAGGTAATGCCTGGAGGATACAAGCCTTTTTTTACCCCTTTTTTTAAATTTCATTCCCCGAGTGATTTACCAAGGGCCATCCATGTATAATAAATACCTTTCCCGGACTCACTTGCCTTCGCATATCGGGCTTATCCTTATCATTTAGGACTCCTCATTGTGGACTCTAGGTCGTTGTGGACAGTCGGTCACGGCGCTCAGGACACACGGCGCTCAGGACACACGGCGCTCAGGACACTCAGCGCTCAGGACACACGGCGCTCAGGACACACGGCGCTCAGGACACTCAGCGCTCAGGACACGGTCATAGACAGGATACCAAACGCGGTCTCTCGCTTCTACTGCTCCATTTAAACCCCCAAGGCGAACGATAGCAAGGATTCGACCTCGTTTTCACCCACATACTATTTTCTCTTTCTCTGTTTATTTGTCTATATTTATTTGTTTTGTTGTAACTCTCTCGCTATCTTATAATTTCTAACTCTGCTTGTCATTCTTAGTATCTGTTTCTGTCTTTTTGTCTCTTTGTATCTCTCTCTCTCTCTCTCTCTTTCTCTCTTTCTCTCTCTCTCTCTCTCTTTCTCTCTTTCTCTCTCTCTCTCATTCTCTCTCTCTCTCTCTCTCTCTCTCTCTCTCTCTCTCTCTCTCTCTCTATATATATATATATATATATATATATATATATATATATATATATATATATGTGTGTGTGTGTGTGTGTGTGTGTGTGTGTATATATATATATTTATATATATATACATATATATATACATATATATATATATATATATATATATATATATATATATATATATATATACTTATATGTGTATATATATATATATATATATATATATATATATATATATATATATATATATATTTATACATATATATGTCTATATATTTACATCCACATATATGTCTATATATTTATATCCATCTCTCTCTCTCTCTCTCTCCCTCTCTCTCTCTCTCTCTCTCTCTCTCTCTCTATATATATATATATATATATATATATATATATATATATATATATATATATATATGTACATATATATACACATATACACACATATACACACATATACACATATAATACTAATGCTGATGGTAATAGAAAACTAGTAATGATAATCAATGATAAACATACAGTAATAATAATAAATAGCAATAATGACAATAATGACAATAATAATAACGGTAAAAATTATAATAATAAGAGTAATAATAATAATAATATTGATAATGATAATGACAATTATGGTGGTAGTGATGATGATATAATAACGATAATAACAACAATGGTAGTAATGTAATGAAAGTAATAATAATGATAATAATAATGATAGTAATAATAATAATGACAGTAATAACGGCAAAAATGATAATTATAATAGTATTACGTTTGATGATAATAATAATAACAGCAATAATAATGATCACAGCAAAAACAACAATAACAACAACAACAATAATTATAATTGTGATAATGGTGGGAATGATGATGATAATGATAATAATAATAATAATAATAATAATGAAAATAATAATATTGATAATGATGATAATACTAATACTACTAATAATAATGATGAAGATTATCATAATGATAGTAATAATATTAGTGATAATGAAAATAATTGTAGTCCTACTGCTACAACTACTAGTACTACTACTTCTAATAGTGATAATAATGATAATGATAATAATGATGGCAACAATGATAATGATATTGATAATGATGATAACAATAATAATGATTACAGTAAATGTAATAACAACATTGATTATAATAAGGATAATAATTGCGTTTAAATATTCAACCCTACGCATCTTTACGTATCCTAAAAGCTTTCAAAAAAATATCATTGCACTTGGATTGAAACCTTTGAAAATGGTAGTGATAATGATAATAATGATAATAACAATAAACATAATGATGATGATGATAATTACAATAAATAATGATAATATGATAAGAACAATAAACGTAATGATGATGATAATAATTACAATGATAATAATAATGATATAGTAATAATAACAACAGTAATTCTAAAAACTTTCAGAAAAATCTCACTGCACTTGGAATGAAAATATTTTAAAGTGGTGGTGATAATGATAATAATGAAAATAACGATGATACTAATGATGATAATAATTATAATGGTAATAATAATGATATAGTAATAATAACAACAGTAATTCTAAAAACTTTCAGAAAAATCTCACTGCACTTGTATTGAAACCTTTGAAACTGCCTGAAGCCAATTTAAAGCGTCAAGATCTTATCACTGTATATCTGCTGTCCTTGCCTTATCATCGTTATCATCATATATTTAACAAGCTTTTTATTATCCATCTTATCTATCTTTATTCCGCCTTACTTTTAAATGTGGGTGTGAATTTGAGGAAAACCTTTCGTGAAGTGTCCGTGCGTCTATAAAGAAACAAATAGCACATAAGAATTAGTGAAAAAAAACAAAACAAAACAAAACAAATAGTGAAAGAACAGTTTCAGAAGAGGATCGAATGAACTGCAGTATCGAAATTATGTTGTTGTTGTTTTTTATTGTAGATTGTTAGGAAAGTCACATATACTACATATCTATTAATTTGCGAGAAAAGAACAGGAGGGAAATTATTTTCATTGACTTATTGCCAGTTAACCAAGAGATAAGTGTATAATTCGTTTATATTCTGAGGTTAAATCACGTGGCTTAAATACTTTCTTTGTAAACGATGTCTCAGATGCGAAAAAAAAGAAATTTGGAACTACGATGACAATAGATGGATAT